CGCTGAACCTCCTGCATTTCCACCTGAGGGCAGGAGTATCCCTGTACGCCACTGCCCCGTCCTCCCCGCCCGGTCCAGCCCCTGGCTCCCACGGGTCCCTTCCATAGTGAGGGTGCCATGGCCTGAGGTGGGGCTCCAGTGCCCCAGGTTGCCCGTTCCAGGGCCGCCTCACTGAGCAGGGAGTAGGTGTTTGAACAGAGGTGCATGCCTGCCTGCAAGCTGTCACTGTATTTGATTCCACAAACGGTTTTAATCCCTGGTGTCTACTTTCCTGCCTCCAAGACTGACCATGATCCCACCTGGAGGGTCAACTGGGTGTTGTAGGCACTGAAGCAAGCTCATGGGGACATCTGGACAGTCTATCAACCACACCTAAAATGGTCATTTCCTAAGCACATGGTCCTTGAACAGCTACTGCTACAGAAGGTGCCCCCTCATGCCTGCAGGTGTGAAGGGTGGCTTTGAAAGGAGTCAGTGGGCGGGCTGCTTTTCCCAATGCCGTGGGCCAAACCTCCCTGATTCATGGACCAGCAGTCCACTGCGTGCCCAGATAGGTCACAGTAGCCCACTGTGGCTCTGAACCAGAGAGTTCACTCTGCTCCCCTCATCTGAGGCCTGTGGTGCCACTGGCTTCTGAAGGCGCAGCTGGGCAGGGCGTCCAGAGCTGGGAATCAGCCAGGTGTCAGCTGCGCTGTGGACAAAGCATCACCACGCGGCCTGTCCACCTGGCAGCCCACAGGGGGTGGCCCACAGGGCCAGCATCAACCTCTCCTCCAGCCCACCGGACTCAGAATGCCCATGCCTGGACCCTAAATCTAGAGGATTGTTTTTGTTTCTCCCCAAATCTGAAAACATCACAGCTCTTAAAGGTCAACAGAGGTCACTGAAGCTACACCCATGTTATGTGTTGCCTGTGAGTGGCTGTCATGCGGGGCTTTGCCACACACCTCTGGCTGCATCTGTCCTGTCCTGCTGGTTGTCCACATCTCGAGACCTGTGCCCACAGGAGCAGGAGGCTGTCCCTGTGTCCTTGACCCTCTGCCCCATGGAAGGCAGTGCTGGGACCTCAGTGCCCACAGGCTGTGAGAACTGTGAAATGTTCTAGAATGGTGCGCTCTGGGCTGCCGCTTCTCCCCTGTGAAGTGAGTATGTGACCAGGCTGGACGTGTGTGGTGGGGATCTAATGGCCATCTCCAGCAGGCCCTCGTCCCTGCTTGGCCCCGGCGGGAAGGCCTCGGGCAGCTGCAGGGAGTGATGTGTACAGAAGTCAGCATCTGCATGAATCTGAGGGCCCTTCTCCGGGGGTGGAGGGGCCCCTCTACGTCCCACCGGATACCCTTGACTCGGCGGGAACATGGAGCTCACGGCTGGGTACCGTGAGGGCCGAGCCTGGGGTCCCCAGGACTTGTGAGCAGTACCGAGTCAAGCCCACCCCCCATGTGGAGCTCTGGGTCTGTAAAGGACCAGGAGCTTGCGATGCTGAGATGGAACATGGTGGTGCTGAGTACAAGGCGCTGGGCTGGGGTCCTGGCTTCTGATCCTGCCTGTGGCATGTCTGTCCGCCTCAGCTTTGAAATCTGCAGAATGGGGCAGAATGCCTCAGAGCTGCAGGCCTGGACACCTTTGCTTGTTCTGTAAACATTTAAGGCTCAGCACAAGATGTGGTGAGGGCCATGGAGGATGGAGGTTCGGGGAGCCCCGCATGTAGAAGAGGAGCCTGAGCTGAGCAGTCTGGAAAACCCACCCAGGGAACCGGCTGCGTCCACAGTCCCCGCCTGTCATTCCTCCCCAGGGCAGCAGACCCAAAGCTGTGGGCCAGGAGAGGCCAGGCACTTGAGGAGTAGTGGGGGGCTCTGACATCCCCAGTGTGTGCTGGGCACCAAGGGCTGGTCCTCACTGGGTGCTCTGGGCACCAGTGCCCACTCACCAGCCATGTCTGGGAATCCCAGCTGGCAGGGAGCCAGCCACCCCTGCCACCTCATCACCTCGGGTCTCCATTCCTGCCAAGCTGGGGGTGGGGTGGGTGGGGCGAGCCAGCAGGCCCCCACCCCATGCCATGCTTTCTGGCTGCCTGCGTGTAATTAACAGAGTAATTAAAAACAGGATGAGTTAATTGGTATTCATTTATGTGGCAGATGTTTTTAATTGAGGAGGAAACAGTTTACCTGTTTACATAAACAATGGCAAAGGCAGGCTCGTAAAACACATTTTTCCCTTCCAGCCCTCCCCCTACCTAAACAGAATTGGAGGAATGCAGGCTCTTCCTCCGAATGGGGGAGCCTGTGGGCATCCTGGGGGTACAGAGCAGAATTGGGGAGCCTGCAGGCACCCTGGGGGCATGGAGCAGAATGGGGGAGCCTGTGGGAACCCTGGGGGCATGGAGCAGAATGGGGGAGCCTGTGGGAACCCTGGGGGCATGGAGCAGAATGAGGGAGCCTGCGGGCACCCTGGGGGCATGGAGCAGAATGAGGGAGCCTCTGGGCACCCTGGGGGCATGGAGCAGAATGGGGGAGCCTGCGGGTACCCTGGAGGCGTGGTGAAGCGGGAGGTGGGGGCTTCTGTCCATTTGTTTGCTATGGAGATTGTATTCCCTATGGGGATAGGTGTATGCTTTCAGGTGAGGGGGGTAGCCCCAAGACCCTTGAGGTACCCCCGCTTGGTGACTCTTTGGGCCTGTATCTGCCTGCCAGAGGGAAGGCTGATGAGGGTCTCACATCTGTCTGCTTGTTCCTGTAAGGTGTGCAGTACCCCAATATGACCCCCTAGCACCGCCTGCAGCTACCTGTATTATACTACACGTGCTTTATAATAATGTAACAAAATTAGGTCTTGCATTTACTTACGTTTTTAATTCATTTTACTTGCATGAGCACAGATTCTTCACAGCTGGCCTGATAGGCACCATTGTGGTCCTCGGGAAAGCCTGGAGCAGCCAGGGACACCTTGGAGTGAGAGCTCAGGAGCCAGGGACACCTTGGAGTGAGGGGTCAGGCAAGGCGCCTCTTGCACTGTGAACACCTGGCAAGCAGGGACGTCCCTGTGAGCACTGGCTCACTGCCCCACACCGTGTGCTCAGGTGTTTTGTAGTTTGTGAAAGCCAGACAGTGAAAAAGGAAGGGCTGACGCCTGGGAGGTTGTTGATGGAGAATACTGAACATGCCACGACTGTACTGGCTGACGTCAGGGTCCCTAGAGACAGCAGTGGTGGGACTTCACTTCCCAGATTGGGACATATCTTCAAAAGGGCACCATCCCTGGAGATGGACATCATGCATGTAATGTAGGGACCTTCAGCGAGATGACAGACACATGTCTGCAGCCACGGCCCAAGCGAAAAAGAGACTGAGGTGGACTGCGCGGTCGGTTCTGGTTCTGTCCCAGGAGGGTGCTCGGCAAGCACCAGCACTGTCACTTGTCCGCAGACCCGCAGACGAGGCTCAGGTTCCTGTGTGGACGTTCCCACCGCACCCCTGCCTATCACTCTGGAAGGAGAGTGAGCCTGGCCCAGTCCTCAAAGCTCTAGCTCTTTACTGCTTCGAACCTGCGTCCATAGACGGATGCTGACAGTGACACTCCCAGATGTCCAAAGTCCCAGAGCTGCACTTTTACATGACCTCAAGCCCATCAGGTGAAGGGAGGGTATCGTCATCAGAAAGCTGAGAGGACTGGTGACTCAGGTGCACATAGGCATTTTGGGGTGAGGCCCACAATACTTCCTCAGCCACCCGGCTCCCTTCAGTGACCAGCACGGTGGTATCATGGGATCATCTCCAGCTTCTGCTCTGGGGACATCACAGCTCCTTTGAGGTCACACCACCCGTGGTCACCCATGTGGGAAGGACATGGACCACAAGCAGAAACAGCCTCAGCCAGGGGTGACCTGCCGCAGGTCATTGAGCCGGAGTGACCGGCCGCAGGTCATCTCAGAGGGTTTACTCAGAGGCCTCCCCGGTGGCCCCTCCGTGCCCAGCGGGATCTGTTCCACTGGACAGAGGCTAGAGGCTCAGAGGGGACACAGCATGGCTTCCACTCATGTTCATGCAGGTTCCCCAGGTTCGTGTCCACTGTGTGCTGGGTCTTGCTTCTTCTGGACGCGTCACAAGGTGAGCTCTGGCCCTTCAGGGAGACGGGCTCAGCACCGCACATGACCCACCCATCACCCGTTACTTAACATTCATGGGAACAGCGGTGTGATTTTTAAGTTTTGGCAACCTTTCTTGGACAGTTCAAGATGCCGTGCAGCCAATTTGCATGTTTTTTTAAACAATGAAAGCTTTGGGAGTCGGTAGGCTTTCCCTGGCACCTCAGTGCTGGTAAGGAAAATTCAACAGCTTGGCTTTTGAGCCCTTTCCCACCCGGCCTCCTCCCCACGCCCACCTCAGCCCAGTCTCCTGGTGAAAGGCAGGCATCCCAGCGCTGAGCCATCATTGCTGCTTAAGGACTTACCTTTTCCATCTCGGCTGGGACACTGATTGAGGGCAGGTCCTGGGTCAGCACACAGTAGGGAAGTTGCTTTTGAGCAGTTATAACAATGTATCTCTGCATTGCCTCGTGGGACAATGTGTAACCATCACTGTTGCCATCTCTGCCCTTCTGGGGGAGTTTCTCCTGTAACCCAGAAACAAGAGCAGTAAATCAACAACATGGTTGTAAAGAAGAGGGTGGTGCAAAGATGGGGCGCCAGGGAAAGGCTTTCTCTGTTCCCCTGAGGCTGTTCTTGTCTGTCTCTAGAACATCTCTGTGTGTTTCAGATCCTTGTTTAAATGTTCAAAAGGAGCTTTGGTGGCATAGTGTGTTAGGTGTTGCGCTGCTAACTGAAGAGTCAGCAGTTTGAATCCAGCCGTTCCGGGAATGAAAAGTGAAGTCCCTGGAGACTTTGCACCATGGAACTCATCGGGGAGGGAAGTTGAGGAGTCCGGGTTGCTGTGGCTCCATGGCAGTCGGTGGGGTGAATGTTCAGGGGGGAATTGGCAGCTTCGGAGACCTTCTTTAGTATTGCTCTGACAGAAACACCTCAAGTGAATGGCTTTTACCAATAGCTCACAGTCTGGGAAGCTGGGCATCTGAACTCGGCACCAGGTCTAGGACAGGCTTCTGTCACCTCGGGGGAAGGTCCTGGAGCCCCTTCAATGTCTGTGGCCCCAGCACTCCTGGGAGGACTCTACGTGCCTTGGTCTTGGTCTCCCATGGGTCTAGGAAGACCCTGGCCTGAGGGCCACTCCACTTGTGACTCTGGGAAGCACTGAACCTTTTCAGGGGGCCTCCCCCTCCTTTTAGCTCTTGTCAGATGGGAGATAATGCCAGTCACCCCCAGCAAAACTGCCCCGACGCTGAAGCTGGGCTGTGGTCTGAGTATAGGCTGCTGCAGTCTACCCCAATCCACACGTTGGGGTGATTACATCATGACATCACTGTCCAAACACATCAGGCCACTGAGAATCATGGACCAGCCAAGTTGGCACATTCTTTGAGGGGACGTAATTTATCCATTCACTGGAGGAAACACACGAGCTTGTCCCTCCTCCGTGTGTGTGTGTGTGTGTGTTCCCTCTCTGCCTCTCTCTGTCTTTCCTCGCTCTGTTTCTCCTCTGTCTCTGCCTCTCTGTCCTCTCTCTCTGTCTCTGCCTCTCTCTGTCTCTCCCCTCTGTCTGTCCT